GGCACTATAGGGCTTGACTCAGATGGTGTTGTGGTTACTGAAGCATAGGTTTCTTTAAGTTCAGAACTCTTTACAAGTTTTTTGGCTTCGGAAAAGCTAATGTTTTGGGTAAATTTATTCTTGTTAATTTGCATTTGTTCTTCCAAATCGGACAATCTTTGGAGAAGGATGAATGTGCGCATGAGCAGTTGGTGCATTTTTTTAAAATCACTGGTACAATCTTCTGTTGTGTGTGTCTTCTCACCACAGTGAGCACACACAACAGACAATGTGCAAGTATTTACACCATGTCCATATTTCTGGCATTTAAAACACCTGAGCGGGTTGGGGATGTAGGTGTCAACTTGGATGTTACAGTAACCTGCCTTCAGTGATCTGGGGTCATTTGGGCATGAAAAGGAAAACAGATATGTATTAGTTTTGAAAGTTTCATTGTTTTTCCGAGTTGTAAAACGTTTGACATAAAGCACTCCTTGGTCCTTCATCTCTGACACTATGTCAAGTTCCGACATGTCAGCAAACAATCTGTAACGATCTCTGACAATGCCTTTGCTCGTGTTGAGTGTTTTGTGAGCAGTGACCGTGACCGGAATACCGACAATGGTTTTCGTGCTCATAAGGTTCGTGGCTTGTTGTCTTTTCCCACACTCAACAAGCAGAGCACCAGAACGTAACCGCTTAATGTTCTTAACATCACCGGCAATGCCTTGTATACCCTTCGAGACGGCAAAAGGATTCAATTTCAATGGTGTCAAGTCAACAGTTTCAAGTAGAAGAAAACGTGGCCAATAATCAAGTGAGTTGGGCAGTCTATGGTCAGTCTCAGCAGGATCAGTGTCAAGTGTACGCTTGGCCTTTTTTACGGGGGTTTTGTAAGCCATGTTTTTAGATTTCATCATCCGAGCTCCCCACCCACCACGGAGTATCACAAGGACAATGCTAAAACAAGTGGATCCCGACTTGCAGCACCAGGGATACCCGGATGATATACGCCAGCAGAAGAATTATAAATAATTACTCCACCAGATTGGCCCATGAGCCACTGCCTTCTGGGCATAAGATTCTAGGCAATTTATAGAATGAAAGTTCTAATTTGAATTTCGAAGGAAACATCATTAAGCCAAGACATTTGATAGAAACATTTAACAATATAATATATTTGTGCAGCACAATATACATGCACAGGGCTTTGCATGACCAGCCGATTGGTAGAACCGGGCCAGTTCTACCACCCGTCTAGGTGAAGTAAGGGCCGAAGTGGTGTGTTGGGCAAAAGGAACACTGTTCTGGCTCCAGTGCCCTCAACCACCAGAATCCCGTCCTCCATCGACACAGGTGCGCAACCCACGGCCAACGGGTTGGTGGACCAAATATACCCCCGGGTCCACAACAGGGGGTTGAAGAGCGCTTAGCGTTACCCAGCACCCACCACGAGAAGGTGGCTCTTCACGGGTGCCACACACACACGATGACAGTATTGGATACACCTGGATATAGTGCTACAGGTACACACATGATGACAGTATTGGATACACCAGGATATAGTGCTACAGGTACACACATGTTGACAGTACTGGGTACACCTGGATATAGTGCCACAGGTACACACACGATGACAGTATTGGATACACCTGGATATAGTGCTACAGGTACACACTACACCTGGATATAGTGCTGCAGGTACACACATGTTGACAGTATTGGGTACACCTGGATATAGTGCCACAGGTACACACACGATGACAGTATTGGATACACCTGGATATAGTGCTACAGGTACACACACGATGACAGTATTGGATACACCTGGATATAGTGCTGCAGGTACACACATGATGACAGTATTGGGTACACCAGGATATAGTGCTGCACACATGACGTTAATACACATGTGCCTGGGTGCAGTATTAGTGCCGTACACACTGGATATATGCCTGGTACAGTACACCTTGGATATAGTGCTACAGGTACACACATGATGACACTATTTGACATACCTGGATATAGTGCTACAGGTACACATATGCTTATTGGAAACACCTGGATATAGTGCTACAGGTACACATATGATGACAGTATTGGAAACACCTGGATATAGTGCTACAGGTACACACATGTTGACAGTACTGGGTACACCTGGATATAGTGCTACAGGTACACACACGATGACAGTATTGGATACACCTGGATATAGTGCTACAGGTACACACATGATGACAGTATTGGAAACACCTGGATATAGTGCTACAGGTACACATGTTGACAGTACTGGGTACACCTGGATATAGTGCTACAGGTACACATGATGACAGTATTGGATACACCTGGATATAGTGCTACAGGTACACACATGATGACAGTATTGGATACACCTGGATATAGTGCTACAGGTACACACATGTTGACAGTACTGGATACACCTGGATATAGTGCTGCAGGTACACACACATGTACAGTATTGGATACACGGATATAGTGCTACAGGTACACACATGATGACAGTATTTGACATACCTGGATATAGTGCTACAGGTACACATATGCTGACAGTATTGGAAACACCTGGATATAGTGCTACAGGTACACACATGTTGACAGTACTGGATACACCTGGATATAGTGCTACAGGTACACACATGATGACAGTACTGGGTACACCTGGATATAGTGCTACAGGTACACACATGATGACAGTATTGGATACACCTGGATATAGTGCTGCAGGTATAAACACATGTACACAGTATTGGACACACTTGGATATAGTGCCACAGGTACACACACATGATGACAGTATTGGATACACCTGGATATAGTGCTACAGGTACACATATGCTGACAGTATTGGAAACACCTGGATATAGTGCTACAGGTACACACATGTTGACAGTACTGGATACACCTGGATATAGTACTACAGGTACACACATGATGACAGTATTGGATACACCTGGATATAGTGCTACAGGTACACACATGATGACAGTACTGGATATAGTACTACAGGTACACACATGATGACAGTATTGGATACACCTGGATATAGTACTACAGGTACACACATGATGACAGTATTGGATACACCTGTATATAGTGCTACAGGTACACATATGATGACAGTATTGGACACACCTAGATATAGTGCTACAGGTACACACATGTTGACAGTACTGGGTACACCAGGATATAGTGCTACAGGTACACAGATGATGACAGTATTGGATACATCTGGATATAGTGCCTCAGGTACACACACATGATGACGGTATTTGACATATCTGGATATAGTGCCTCAGGTACACATACATGAATACAGTATTTGACATACCTTGATATAGTGCTACAGGTACACATATGCTGACAGTATTGGAAACACCTGGATATAGTGCTACAGGTACAACTGTTACCAAACCAATATCACAAAATGTAATACTCTGCTATCATCTGTAAATCCTATCTTGCTCAACAACTGTGCAAAATTGATTAAGGAATCACCGTGTACAAGGAAAATGTTTTGAATGAATAATCAGTGTTAAAATGGATTTCTTGTCACCTTGTCATTGTTATTCAATTATTACATGTTTTTGGGGGTACGTGGGCCTGTTTCGCTCCATTCACGAAGAGTTTTGTCATGAAACAATGTTAGTCAACTAAACAACCATTAACCCCTTCAATTAACTTCTTCTCCTGACCAATTACGATTATACTATTTGTTGTGTTAAACATTTGCTATATTTCAACTGACGTTTATCGACTATTGGCAAAAAACCTTATGTTTCCAAGTGTGGTGGCTAGTTCTGTTTCGACCAAAGGGTTTTCGCTACGTTTGGTAAAAAAAGAAATTACTTAGACATAGAAAGGACCAAACTATCTCGTTGGGAAGTTTGCGAGCATAGGTGTCAAAGTCATCAACGGCGCCGATGGTAATGTCCAGTTCCCGTTTGGACCCTTTCGTTAAGGTTTCTATGTTTGTCAGCTCCGTTCTTCTCCAAACTGGTAAACGTGTTAGTTTGTGCACCGTTTCAACATTAAGCTGACATATAGGCTGTAACAGGAACACTGCCCTAACTGCAGGTTGCGAGGCTAATTACGAGATTCATTTGCACATGCGACATCCTCCCTAACCCATCTTTTGCTCCAACTATTTCATTAACACTGTACCTGACATCCACCCTAATCCACCTGCTGCCCCAACTGTTTCCTGAACACTGTACTCGACATCCAACATGACCCATCTGCCTCACCAACTGTTTCATCAACGCTGTACCCGACATCCACCCTGACCCAAATACTGTCCCAAGTGCGACGACGATTTGACGCTATACTCCAAGTCTAATGTAGGATTTACCAGATGGCTACCAGATGGAACATCTGGTGGTGCTAGACCCGCAGATATCAGCTGATGGCATCACGACTGTATACATTGCTTGAAATAAGAACATATTCACTTTTACTATATATTCGTTGATTGATGTGGAGTGGTGTTAAATAATTGAACAGCAAATCTGTGTTTGTATTGTAAACATTGAGTTGCCAGTTACAGGAGGTCAACGTTTGTTTGCAGAAATATCTAACGTCGCCAGTCATTGGTTCAGTGCGATCAGTAGCCTTGGTTTTAGATAAACTGTATCTGTTATCTCAAGTCTCTCTTTCTAATGTTTATTATCTTCATATATCTGTTCAGGTATATCAACACCGAGGGTTTTCCGTGTCGAAATAACTTCTCAAACGTTGATGTGCGTCATAGTTGAATTTCGTGGCAAAACTTTATGAATTAATCACATCAAAGAACAGAAAAATTTAAAAAGATCTCTTGTCTGAGAAAGAACTTCAGCTTTCTTTTTAGTACGTGTTAAATGTGTTTATATTCGTATTTTGTGTTTCTGATACTTATGTTTAAATGTTCACCGTCCGTTAGCCACGAAAGCACCAAAACGATCGGTGATGCTTCAGGTCTTAAGTAGATACTGCAGAAGAAGCGACTAGCCCGAGATTCCTATATGGTCTGCATCGCTGTGTTGACAAGGACGTTGTTTCATGTTGGCTCAGATTCAATGATGAAGATACAAGCATTTACCTTCATCTTGGTAACAACCATTTTTAACGGTAGGTATTGCTACATTCTGTATGACATTGTTTGACGTCACTACAGCTACTATTCAGTCAAGTACTTGTGATTCGAATACACAATGCCATTTAGAAAGTGGTTAATTGCAAATGTAACATATGTTATATCTGGGGTTACACTTTCTTTGTAAAGTACAGATTCTAGTATTTTGGGGGTTGAGCCCCATCCGAGATTCGAACCCACACCCTCAGAGTCAGGCACCCTAATCGCCAGAACACACAGTCAGCCGTGTAATTATAACATGCTATGCCATCGCACATATGTTATACTTTCCTCATCGCCTTAAAGCGTTCACCTTCTGGACGAGTTCTGCTTGGGACGACAGATGCAGACACACACACTAACAAAAACACAAAGACACATTCATACTTGAGACATAGACACATACATGTATGTATGTGTGTTGTCATTTGGCATGGTTATTCATTATGTAACATTGTTCCAAGTACTGCAATGTTATGGACCAAGGCTCAGCGCGCATTTAAACAAAATAATCGACAGTCTTGGTGAAACTGTTTCCTAAAGAAAATCCCGCACGCCGATTTCAAAGGCGTGTAACATGAAAAAAAGAATAAAGTGCTGGGTTCATATTCTAATGTTTACCATTTGCGGGAAGGTGACGATTTATTAACTGATAAAGCCGACAGTGCAAATTAATCCAGTGATGTCCCACAGTTTAAAAGAATATCAGAAACGACAGGAGAAGAAGAGAATAAATTCCAACTAAGACAAAGGTGAGGACTACAATAAATGGTTTTACATGAGCCACACACCGCCCTTGCGCAAGCTCATTATATCTCAACAGGGCTGATGCTATTCACTATCAGCTCTTGAAGCATTTACAGAATTCATGTCTGGAAACACTGCTAAATAAATCTGATACAATATGGACTTCGGGGAATTGTCCAGCTTCGTTACATAATGCCATCATACTGATCTATCTAATTACAGACCAATATCTTTAACGAGTTGTTAAAACCATGGAACGAATAGTAAGTAATAGATTAATTTGGTATCTGGAAACCAATAACCTAATAACAAATATACAATTTGGTTCCTTGAAGAATTGTAGTAATATTGATCATTCAGTACGATTAGAATCCTTTGTTAAAATGCCATAATATCGAAACAACTCATAGTCTCAATTTCCTTTGAGCTTGAGAAAGTTTACGATAGTGCTTGGAAGCACGGCATTTTATAGGATTAACATGATTTAGGTTTAAGAGGTCGTTTACCTCTTTCCATACAGTTTATCACAGTTTGTAACAGGCAGACAAGTTTAGGTTAGAGTTGGCTCAACCCAGTCTAATCATTCCAGTCAGGATCAAGGTTTTACACAGGGAAGTATTTTGTTTATAACATTATTTACTGGCAAATAAGGATAAGTTTGACCGGCGCAGAGAACGCGTTTACGAGAAGTAGGCGGTGCACGGCAGTGAGCAAACCTATTTGGTTTGTGAAAGGTAGAGCAGATGTAGGCTAGTGCATGTGCATTGCATGACGATGAAATTGATTCCGTGCGTAGCTGCACACGCCTTGCTCATAAGTCTCACGTCGGTGTAGCAAGTCGCACTACACTTGATCACGGACAACCTGGGGCCCCTTCGCTAACAATGGCAAGCGCCAGTGGGCTGCACTCATACATGCTAATACGGGTCAATTGTCAGGTCGGCGCTCAACTTATCCTTGCTTGGCAGTTTTATTATAATTCAACATAGGTTTCAACTGATTCAGTTGATGGATCACCTTTCTTCTTCTTTAATGTTTCTTCTCGTGGTAAAAATATGCATACAATAGAGAGGCAGTTACAACTCTGTCTCAATAGAACTCATAAAAGGTCAATTGAAAACGATTTTGCATCCCTTGTGATGACAGAATCGCAGCCAAGCGTATCCTGTTTGACTGTATTGATTTATTGATGGTGTAAATCCAGCTACGGTCCATGCAGGAAGCAAATGTTGGCAATCTTAGCCTGTTCTTATAGCACATTGTCTTCTATAATTAAAATGTTTTAGACTTACATACTGGATTCACATTCACACCTGTGATGTTATAGTTGTTTGTACTGCCCTTTGCTGACAGTTTTGTCTTTATAATTTACCTTTATTAAAAAATTGTTTTAAGTGACCATATGGCTGAAATATTTGCGACGTGACGTAAAATCACATTTACACACTTCAACCACCGCTACCCCACACTTACAGAATTCGGACCACCGTCACCCCAACGCATTCACTCACTAATGAACCCTTGTTTCAGCAGTTGACAGTGGAAGAAACCTAGCTTTGAGGAAACCAGCTAATGCCAGTTCAACTTACACAGGCTCCTATCAAATATGGGCGTCAAATGTTGTTGACGGGTCACCTTCAGGAGATTTTAACGACCGCACATGTCACAGCGGGGAAAATGGTGATCTGAATCCCTGGTGGCAGGTGGACCTACAGGCCGTCTACAGGATATCAAGGGTTCAGATCGTTGGTCGTTCAGATGGCCGTAGTAAGTGCCCAAAATATTTTCTGTGATGTTGCCATGTAATATCCTGTGTTTGGATATGTTTGTGTGGATTTGTTGCTGTGTGTGGTTGGTGTGTGTACTATGATGTTTGTGCCTTTGTATGGTTGGTTCTAACACTTGTGTTGATGGTTGTGTCCTCTGCTATGGAATGTGTCCATACATTAGATATTAAGACCCTTGCTGATGTCCCTTGTTGTGGCAAAAAAGCTATCCACAAGGCTGTATGACCAAAAAAAGGATGATTTCAACTTTCCAACTGTCAACGTTCCTTTCATGTCGAGCAACAGGTTCCAGCCTTAGGTACCTTTGAGGTACAATCGGGCATCCTCCCTTTACCCAGATTTCAAAGTGTCACAACATTCAATGCCCAAGTATGGTAGACATGTAGAGGGCATTTCCAAATTAGATGCATCAGTGACACAAATGATGTCCGATCCAATTAATTATTTTGCCCTGTACGATGCGTTCCCATATTGTTTCAGGTAAACTAGACTTATGTTTATGACGGGTGCAACCGGTGGGGCAGGATACGCTTACTTTTTCGCGAACACCTGGTATTATCATTATTCGATAGTGATTCATAAACATATGCTCTGTCATCGTATTGCAATCACTGGATCGTCTGATTGTACAGACTCGATTGTTTACGAACAACATCGTATAGCTGGAATATTGCTGAAGCAAATACATACTCATGATGATAGTCCGAATTGTAGAATCGACTCTGCTTTCAGCAGATATTTCGCGTGGATACGGAAAGGGTTTTGCCACTTCTGTTTGTATGGCTGGTTGAAAACTTGTGTTGATGGTTGTGTCCCTCTATTAGACGTTGCGTTCCCGCTTTAGTGATTGTGACTGTGGCTGGTGCTTGTGTCCCTGTGTTTGTTGCTATGCCCATGTATGGGTATGCTGGGTGTCTGTCTATGCGATCAGGTTATGCGGATGATTTATTAATTAACCGTGGAAGATATGTTTCTATGGAAAAAACCCAAAGGTTATGTCCATTCTGTTACATTATTGAAGACGAATTCCATTTTATGTTTATTTGCCCTGTATATGAAAATCTAAGAAATAAGTATTTACCGCAACTGTCTTTATCTCAAATCAACGTTAATCTATTGTCTTCCTTACTTTCCTGCAAAGAACCTCCAAAACAATACAAAGTTGCTCTATTTATCTACAATTCATTTTTGTTAAGAAAAGAATTGATTAGTTAGAAAGTTGATTATATATGCCATTGTCAAGATGTATCTCTTTTGTATATGGGCCTATGGCCTTTCATACAATAAAGAATTGAATTGAATTGAATTGAGTCCCTATCTATAGATTTTGTTACGGGTTAGAGGGGCGATGGGGTAGCCTAGTGGTTAAAGCGTTGGCTCGTCACGCCGAAGACCCGGGTTCGAATCCCCACATGGGTACAATGTGTGAAGCCCATTTCTGGTGTCCCCCGCCGTGATGTTGCTGGAATATTGCTAAAAGCGGCGTAAAACCATACTCAGTCAGTCAGTCAGTCAGTTACGGGTTAGAATTACTGTGATAAATGTTTGTGAGCCCCCTTTAAACTAAAACAATAAAACATAAATCTATAATATTGAATTATATATTGAAAAAATAAGATAAACAAGGTTACAATGAATGACAGTACAGATTTCTAATGCAACGATTGGGTCACACATTTAAAATATTAACTTAATGTCTATCGTCACCAAAGTCTTAAATCTTGAAGTTTGTTGACAGTTGTTGAAAGTTCAATGTAGATGAGGCCACTTGAGTAGTCGGTATTGAAACGTCAATGTTGGCAGACAAGTGCCATTGCCGCTAATAGTAAATATCCAGCCTCAAATACGCGACTCGGGAACAGACACACCATATTACGAGCATCTACTCACGACATAAAGCCTAACATACGACGTATCAGTCTTCATAACCGATTACTGTACAAAACACATGTGTCTGATAATTCCAGCTGAGTGGCTGCACGACTTCTACATCGAGATGTACGACGGGAACCCTACTGTCACTGTAGGGGTCCAGCCTAAGTTGTGTCACTTCTACAAGGGCGTCTTCAAACCCACAACTCAAGACATCAAGTGTGACTCTGTGGTGTCTGGGAGGTTCGTGAAGCTGTCAAGGAAGAACATACGACATCCGGAACATCTCTTAACATTGTGCGAGGTATCAGTGTATGGGCCAGACTCGTATGGTAAGCTGGATGTATATATGTATACATGTGCTTGTATGTATGTGTGCGTGTATCTGTATGCATGTGTGTTTGTGCGTGTGGAGTTGGGAGTATTTGATCATGCTACTGTATCTGTATTCTTGTTTTGGAATAATCACTATGAGATTATATTGCGTATGAAGAAACTAAAACGGCTGGTCTGATATTTGTACATGTGAAATAGTCCTTCCAGAACATATATAGAGAGTTCTTAATCCCAAATATTTTACTACTACACGTTCCTTTGCGAAGGTAATGCATCTATCTATTCAATCTAAGAATGAACACATACATGCTGGTTTGTACGCACGCTCGCAGGTAATGTTGTTGTTGTGCCCTCCTACACACATAGCCCCCCCTGCAAACGTTCCCATGTTCTAAAAACACCAGGTTCTTCCATAACTCCAGACAACATACTATACATCAGGTGTGTGGTAGTGGCGTGTGCAATATACGTCGAACATGTTGTGTTTCTCTGTTGCCAAGTAAACAGGAAACAAAAGCGATATACATCGGACACATTCTTTGAGATATTGTCATATTTTGACGTCAGGTGATCAGAGCACTCTTAGGTTCTGTCCAAACTGACGCTGTCTTGGTTGTTGTGTTACAAAGACGCATAAAACGGTCCTATGTATTCAACGGTGACGTACATACAACAACGTAATGTATGTGTTACAGTCAATGTGTAATATCAGGCAATTTGTAACTTGCCTAAGATTTTCAGTTAATTTACAAATTGCCTGACAAATTTGTCGATTTGTTCGACAGATTGACTGGACGTAGGTTTCAATGTGTATTATCATTATTAGTGTTTGCAGTCAACTCACTTCCGTTGTCACTCTACAGAATCTTGGATGCACCAAACATCAAGACTACTTCAGTTGCGGGTATGAAGGTCAGAGGTCCAAGAATGCAAAACTAAGTCAAAGGGTCCTGATATACCATGAGCCACCGATCATGACCTCTTGGCTGCATGTCGACCAGGTCTACTTGTCCACGAGATACATAGTCCTTGGATAGTATACACATAACCACTACACCTTTAGTTGTAGCATTCTTACGTTTCTTCTGATATTCCATGCAGAGAGACACCTTACCTGGCTTCCTTTAGAAGAGCTATAACAATCAGCTGTAATCACAATGGATGAGGATGACAAACATGACTTAATATCACCTAATGTTTCACTTCATACTCCCTAAAACAATTGAAACTGTCTTTCAGTCAGTCTGTCAAATAAATCGACTAATTTTTCAGGCAGTTTGTAAATTGACTGAACATGTCAGGGAATGTACAAATTGACTGAGTGAATCAGGCAATTAAGAAATTGACTGATTTTACACACTGACTGTAATATATACAAGCCATACAGTACGAAGGATGTGTCTAACAAGATATTTGTAACTTCTTTTATCAAACGCATATTTCTGTAAGACAAACCTGTCACTGACTGATGCCATCGTGATGACGTTGCCCCTCGGGATCCTGCACTGTAGCGTCTTCTGTACAACCAACCCTCTCTGCCTTGCGGTCAAGGTGGTCAGCGATGGGACACCCGCATGTCAGCTTGTCTACAGGAATGTCCACAGTGCCAGGGAAACTGCGCCGACACTTTCGAATTGCCATGTCTATACGACATCGAGGAGTGAAATGGATGTGTAACTGCCCTATCATAGATGTCTTTGTCCGTGCAGTTGACTTAACCTTCCTTGAAGACACAGACACACACAAAGACAACCAGACACTCAAAGAGACACACATCCCCATACACGCAAAGACGCACACACAAATACACACAGGTTTAGTTTGCATGTGGAATGGCAATAACTACTTATACTCAAGTGCCTCCCTGTTATGCTGTACACTATGTACACCAAACCTCTGGGACAACTCATCTCTGATCATTGCATTGGGCAGCACTTTTATGCTGATGACTCCCAATTGGTGGACAGCTTCAACCAAGTCCAGACAGTCAGCAGAAGGCCAAGGATAACATGGAGTCCTGTCTCAATGATGTCAAGTCATGGATGACAAACAACAAACTGGTCTTAAACGATAGTAAAACAGACGCCATCATTATTGCTCCACGTCAAAGACAGCAGAAGTGTCAGCTTTCTTCCATTTCCATTGGACAATCCTCAATCCCTTTCTCCCCCTCTGTAAGAAATCTTGGTGTTTATTTGGACTATGAAAAGTCATATCAAGCACCTATCCAAAATATGTCACTTCCATCTCCGAAATATTGGTTCCTTACGCAACATCTTAACCATGGAAGCAACGGCCACCCTCGTTCGATCTCTAGTTCTATCACGCTTGGACTACTGTAATAGTTTACTATTTGGTATCTCTGATGAACAATTACAGCGTCTTAAAAAATTACAGAATCAGGCTGCTCGTATCGTCACAAGGAGAAAGCTACGCTCTCATATTACGCCAGCTCTCAATTCTCTTCACTGGCTCCGGATCCGCGAGAGGATTGAATTTAAACTGCTCGCCCTTGTTCATCAGTCTATTATCAACAGTGGTCCAGCATACCTCCAGGATTTGATAAAACTCCACAAACCTGAAAGATCTGTCCGCTCCAGCGATCAACTCTTGCTAGTTGTTCCCGTTTGCAAACTCAAAACCTTTGGTGCAAATTCATTTTCTCATGCTGCTGCCACTCCCTGGAACTCTCTACCATCGGATCTCAAAACCTCTCCATCACTCCCACTCGTTAAGTCCAAGCTCAAAACTCACCTCTTCAAGAAATATCTGTAACATCAACTTTCCTGTACATAGAACCTGTATATATATTATGCGCTTAGAGCATGTCCCTGAGTGATGTGGATGAGGCGCTATAAAAGTACTCTTATTATTATTATTTATTGTTGTGTGTCAGTAATTATTCATTGTTCCAAGTGCAATGCACTTTTCCCTTTTGTCCTGTTGTGCGCATTATCAGGTATATAGTTCTGGAATGTATTACAGTGGTGCAGAGAACATTGTAGAAGGATCTGGTTGCTTTGCTTTGGTTTGTAAGGGGAGCTAACTCTCTCACCTCGCATAACATCTCACGTTACAAGAAGACCAGCATTGTGTAGAGATCATTCTCACCTTGGTTACTAAGACTGTTTTACAAACTTGACCATTGCTGCAGTCAGCTGAGTGTGACAATATATGTCTTTATTGCTATAATCACCGCTCTTGTATGTACTGCCTTTGATTGTACCCGTTAAGATCCGGGTTGGAATTAATTTTCAGTAACCCATGTTTGTCGTAAGAGGCGACTAACGGGTTCGGGTGGTCAGGCTCGCTGACTTGGTTGGCACGTGTCATCGTATCCCAGTTGTGTAGATCGATGCTCATTGTGTTGATCGCTGGATTATCTGGTCAGAACAAGACTGGTGAAATGAGGTCAGCCAGGTGTTTATTTATGTGAACAAAATGGCCGACTTTCAGACAACAGTAACCCCAACACATTTACACACTTCAGACAACAGTAACCCCAATACATTTACACACTACAAGCCACCGTAGTCCCAACACATTTACACAGTACAGACCACCCTAACCCCAACCCATTCACTACAGGTCACCGTAACCCCAACACATTTACACGCTACAGGCCACCGTAATCCCAACACATTTACACGCTACAGGCCACCTTAACCCCAACACATTTACACGCTACAGACCACCGTAATCCCAACACATTTACACACTACAGGCCACCCTAACCCCAACCCATTCACTACGGGCCACAGTAATCTCAAGTCATTTACACAGTACAGACCACTATAACCCCAACCCATTCACTACAGGCCACAGTAATCTCAAGACATTTACACAGTACAGACCACCCTAACCCCAACCCATTCACTACAGGCCACCGTAATCTCAAGACATTTACACAGTACAGACCACTATAACCCCAACCCATTCACTACAGGCCACCGTAATCCCAACACATGTACACAGTACAGACCACCCTAACCCCAACCCATTCACTACAGGCCACCGTAACCTCAAGACATTTACACAGTACAGACCACTATAATCCCAACCCATTCACTACAGGCCACCGCAATCCCAAGACATTTACACAGTACAGACCACTATAACTCCAACCCATTCACTACAGGCCACCGTAATCTCAAGACATTTTCACACTACAGGGCACTATAACTCCAACCAAACACAATCTCACAGACATTTCAACTAATCCCAACACAATCACCCACTTCAACTTACCGTCACCCAAACACACTTAATCACAAGAGATCTCTTGTTTCAGCAGTTGACACTGGAAGAAACCTAGCTTTGAAGAAACCAGCTAATGCCAGCTCAACTTACACAGGCTCCTATCAAATATGGGCGTCAAATGTTGTTGACGGGTCACCTTCAGGAGATTTTAACGACCACACATGTCACAGCGGGGAAAATGGTGATCTGAATCCCTGGTGGCAGGTGGACCTACAGGCCGTCTACAGGATATCAAGGGTTCAGATCGTTGGTCGTTCGGACTGCTGTGGTACGCGCCCAAATGATTTGCTGTGATATTTGCGTTTTAAGCCTTACATTGTAAAATCCTGTGTAGGGACATGTTTGGGTGGATGGTTCCCTGTGTGCTTGTTTGTTTATTGTGGTGGTGTTTGAGTCTTTGAATGGTTTGTTGTAACATTTGTGTTGATGGTTGTGTCCCTGTGCTGGGGAGTGTGTCCATACATTAGTGAGTGAGTGGGTCAAAATTATAAGTCACATCGGCAATATTTCAGCCATGTCGTGACTAAATCAAGTTATAGATTGATGATAATTAAAACTGACTATCACAGACATAAGTGTAAAACTTGTTATTAACCTAAAAAACTTAAAAAAAATAGTTCAACTTTCCAATTGGCAACGTTCCCTTCATGTCAAGCACTACCTCTAGCCTTTGGTGATTGCGTTTCACAACTTTTGAGCGTGCTGTTTTTACCAGGTCCTCAGTACAGTTTTCAAAATTTGTCATGATGGACAGGTGGAGGACATTTCCAAATTTTAGGATTCTGCAACAAAAATGATGTCCGATACAATTCATTATTTTGATCTGTACCATACTAAGAGAATAACCCTCGAGGTACAAGTGATTACGGGAAATATGTCCCAAGTGAAATTAATGTTCACGTTAACGTTTAACGTTAATTTCACGAGGGACATGTTTCCCGTAATCACTCGTACCTCATGGGTTATTCTATTTATTACCCACTCTGTAGTTAAACCGAAAAAAACGCATCTTCTTATGTAAGGGTTAACAACTGATCTGTATTAATGCGGGGATGAAACCAAACTGCTCGAGCTAATGGAATCGCATTCGAACCACAATATAGTACTGTAGAAGAACAACACAATTCAACAGTTTCCAATTTTCGGTTGATGGCGATTTTATTAACCACACCCCATTGTTAAGGTTAAGTTTATTTCAACGAGTACAATTACATATTCAATATTTAGTCGCAGATCGCAAATGTGTCGATCCTGCCTACTCGTGTCAGAAGGTAGTGACTGTAACAGTTGTTGGATACAGAACAGCAAAAGCCTGTCAATGCTTACCTTATAAAACAGTGAAAATATGCAAGGGAACAATAAAACGAAGGAATAGTGAACCTTTTTTTAAGAAGGCGATACACAATTATGAACGTTTGTCAACATTTTGCTGAATCGGGCTGTGACCTAGTTTTGGCTCGCGTCAGTGTCCTGGTCACAAACAATAACTCTAAAGTCCGAGTCGACAACAGTTTTCGTTCGCAGCCATAACCATTTCAATTTTAGGGTCAAACACAGGAACAAACCTGTCAAAAGTTTTTTTTCGATTTTGGGGTAAAAAAAATCATCTTGCGTTAAGTCATTTATAACACTCTACGGAAAGATGGGACTTTGGCGAGATGCCGAATTCGACTCGCTCG